CCCCCCCACCCCAAACACAAAGGCAGCTGGGATTTTGCCTGTTCATACCTTAGAACACACTTTTCCCATGACTTCTTTTCAGTATGGTATGTGTTCATTTGCAAATATTTCACAAAAGGAATGGAGATGAGAAAGTTTCCCCCCCACCACCACCACCACCTCTATCGCTCTCTAAGACGCTGCTGCCGCTGCCGCCGCCGCTTCAGCCGCTACCGGCGCTCCTGCGAATGACACTCACTCCTATTCTTGTTCTCCTCCTCCTCCTTCTCCTCCCTCCCCCCTTTCTTTTGTCACAGAACAAAACATTAAAGAACATCAACAGGGAAGCAAAGAATTCAAAGGGAAAGATGAAAGGGAGACGATTGAAGGAGTGAGATAATAGGAATGGGAAAGAAATGTGTACATGTGTGACACTTTCAAGTCGCTCTATTCTCCCTTCCACGTTATCTCTCCTTTCCTTTTTTTGTAATTCTTCTTCGCTTCATCCTCTATTTACTAAATTTCTGCGTAGTTTTGTCTCGCCCTCTCAGGCGTTAAATGGTGATTAATTGTCAGCTTCGCCAATAAGAGTAACTTTAGTCAGAAGATAGCTGTCTTATATGACTTGGCGGTTTCGAAAAAAGTCCTATTGGAAAAATAATAGATGAAATTCTTTCTCTTTTAAATCTCGTAAGCACGAAAATTTACTTCTTTTTATCTCATACTTCAAACAGGGGACATTTAGGTGATCAAAATGTCCATATTGCGAATTGGATGTTCCTGTTTGTCGGAAGGATGATTGAGAAACGTAATTTAAGGCCTGAGATATATCGCCATATGGAAAATCCACAACCCCCTAACATCTAAACCCAGACCTTTAAACCAATCTCTAATAACAATGCCAGAGGTGATTAACTGGAAACAAATCGATAAATTAATGTGAGGTGGGGGAGGGGGTGGGGAAGAACGATAAACAGACAGTTTTGGGTCGCCGTACATGGTTGGTAGTAAGTAGCGAAGCAAGCGAATGATACAAAACAAGTAGGTGATTCAAGATACCTTTTTATTTACATCTCACGTTCAATTCAATTAAATCCAAACGCATGAACATTCACTGATGGTAGTTGAAGGTGGTTCAGCAGGACTTATCAATACTTAGAAAGAGTATTGGAATGTCCTGTTTTTTGCATTCTCAGCTCTAGGACAACCACAGCGAGGACAGGAAAGGGAGGGGGAACTCATGACCTCTATAACGACCATCCAATTAGAATTCTGAATATTCGCACAATGAATCATGGCTTGCCGATGCATCACATGCTACAATTCCGTGGGTGAAATGTGATATATTCCGCCAGGATTGAATGCCTGCATTATACCATTGGAATAAAAGTAGTTTGAAATTACTCTAGTGAATATTACTCTGTTATTCCATCACTGCTATTCAATTTTAAGCCTGTTTGATTTAAGTGGCCAGTTTTGAGTTGCAGTTGGATATTTGCAGCTTTCAATACTCAAGACTTAAGGGTGAAAAACACTGATTTCTATCATTACCAAGTCAATTTGATCAAGTTGCCCTGGGGCACGCGTAGCTCATAATAAAGAGAGAGATAGGGGGGGGGGGAAGATTTCTAATTTTTTTTTAATAAAATTTCATGGTGTTCCATTGAAAATTTGGACTTCCTTGGGATGTTTGGACTCCCTTTTAGCCATTGACAATTTCCCATTGGACGTTGTTTTCCAAATATTGAATATAGGTACGGAATTGTATTCACATTCATAACAATTCGTTTTGTTAGCCATAGAAACCGCTTTATTAAGAATTAAAAACTAATTTTCTCTCAGATGGTGTAACTTATTTTTTTAAGCTGGGGTGTTCGATAGACTTACCTCCACGTGGTGCACCCTGGGCAACGTATACTCATAAGGCAAAAAAGTCTATTAACCGGCAGTTGACTTCAAACTACCATAGCCCCACTGTATGTCATATTTGACTACTTCCACATTACTCGCCTCACCTTGTTTCTACCTTTGTGTCTGTCTCTTTTACATCTTTGAAACACTCTTCTGTTCTCCCCCCCACCCCTCTCGACTTTTTTTCACTCTGATGTTCCTTCCATTCTGTGGAGCCTAAAGTCAACTAAAGGGCTAATGATAAC